TTTTGGTAATCCTCATCATGACTGGGAGGCACAGGGCCTGAGGATCTATCAAGGGGTATTCCCAGGACTCTTCAGAGAGAACATGTAAAATATTTTGTTACCTCTTACTAGGGGAGTATATTATCCTGGGAAGGATTCCCCAGGTTTTTTCAGAATCTTCATGAGCCAAAAAAGGTTTCACTGATTTAAAAAAATCTAACGTGCCTTTAAAGTACGTCTCCCTGGCAACCTGATGCACTTTGCTAAGACTTAACTGTTTTAAAATCAAATAACAAAGCTCACACTTTTCTCAATTTTATTCAGATGGTTTCCAAGTTGAAATAGAGTAAGCTAATAATTTATGCCATAATTCAATGTGCTAGTATTATACGAGAAAACAAGAAGTCCCAGCACACAATCATCCCTGCATCTGTTTCTCATGAAGTCATCAAGTGACCTTAAGCCACCTCTTAAAAGTTGCCCCAAAACTCCCTTGTGAATTACTAAATGCACTTTTAACTTACTGCAAAAAAGGGACAAATTCTCAAGTTTGCACAGAACATGAAAATTAAAAAATAAGCTTATATAATTGATTTGCTATATGTACATCAAGAACACTTTATCAGCTTTTTTTTTTTACAGTTGTTTAAATAGATCATTTATGGGACAAGAAGGTAAAGAAGTGAACCCAGACAACTCATACCTCTTATGTAGAAAGTATCCTCTAAGCTTAATTTCTAATGAAGAAATTATATCCAAGTATCCATGTTTTTCTAGGTAATATGGCTTCTAAGCCCAGGTGCCTAGACCAGAGTTGCTTTTAGAAATTTAGAACTGGGACTCTGAGTCAGTTACCTACGGGGAACTCAGATAAAATGGGAAGCAGAATTAGAAATTACATGGAAGCAGAAAGAGACTACAGACATAAAACAGGCTGTAGGACCCTCATCAAAGATGGAATGGACAGTATGCAGTCTCTGACTTTCTAGTTCCAGGTCAACTCCCCATTTATGTTATATGCCTTTATAATACCATAATAAAGTATCATAAAACACTAAAATACTATAAACTGCATATTTTAGCCTTCAGCCAACCCCATTTGTACTTAGGCTAGCTTCATAAAAATTTCTGTCTAGAATGAATCTCCGATCTCAAATCTATCCTCCTGTTATAATACTGCTTGTAGGGAAAAACTAAATTTGTCAAATCTGACTTGTTTTGTCTTAATACTGTATTACCTAGCAATGCGATCTCTCCCTTTAAGCGTGGGTTTTCATAAAATCTTATCTCTTAATCAATTATACTTAGAAGGTAATAGAAATATCTATCATCTAGAGTATCCAAGACATCAAATGAACATAAAAAAAACTGATACAGGCAATTTGTATGTTGGTGAAACTAGAGTCTAATCCCATGAACAGTTTGAAGTTAACCACTGTGTACTGCCATTTCCAGAAGTTTAGCTTGGAACGTCACCTTTGAAGGAAGAAGAGCAAAGAAATAACACTGAAGGAAATTACACTGCCATTCTTCCATAGTCCTTAGTAAACCCTATTTAATAAACAGCCTCTGAGCCTTGGAGTTGAGAGAAAGGAGGTAATCAGAAGTGAACCTGAACACAGAAGCACAACACACATAATGAATACAATGAAAAATAATTTACTATTCCCTGAGAAAAAAAGAATACCAAATACAACATAATGTGTGCATGTATATATTGAGGGAAGGGAGGCAAAGACAATACAGAGAAGCCAAATGGGAAATTTTAAATTGAGAATCAGCTGAGGTACCCCAAAAGAGCAAAAGGGGTTTTTTATAAATACATTTGCAAGATTGTTTTGCTTTTCCAAATGATTCAATTGTCCAGAAAAGAAAATACGAATTTAAGTGTTCACTTGAGTAATTAGGATAAAGTGCCAAGCAAAAAACATGTATTAAGTAAGTTTTAAAAGCTAAAGCTCTGAACTGTTCTTCGAAACAATGCTCAGTACAT